AACAGAGCGAAGCGACGGGAATTAGCCAATTAGCATCGTGCCGACATGATAGTTTCAATTTGAAAATGATATCAACCATTATGCAGACTTGTGCTGACTTTAAAGTGAGTCTCCAGACTGTTTGGTCCATAAATCTTCCTGCAGTAGCCACATAGGGCTTATTAGCATTGCTAGGGCTACACTCACCATTCACTTTATGAGAAGCACCTCTTACTAGCTACTTAATGAGCTCCACCTGCTACATACAGTACTACAAAAGCAAAAATGGTTAAAGCTACAGGGAGAATGGGACTCCTAACAACCACCTGGAAGACCCGGTAGACACCAAAACTGCCCCCATCTGATAAACAGCACTTAAAGCTTTCATCTTTGAGAGAGAGGAGAAAATCAAGCTGCTTCAGATCTGAAAACATCCACAGGTGTTTCTGTCCATCCTTCCACTGTGAGGAGACGACTCAGCGCTATGGGTCTGAAAGGATGTGTAGCTGTCAAGAACGTTTGCACTAGAACACAGGACATCTGAGTTGTGGAGTGAGGCTTTTCTAAATTTGTAATTGAGATTTCTTAGATCATGAGAACTGAAAGTACAACCAACTTCTAAGACTGAACTTTGGAGGTGTGTCTGCAGATTTCTTTGAAAAACTGAAAGTGAGTCTCTTGAAAAGAAGAAAAGCTGTAACAAAGGCAAAGAGTGGACACACTAAATAGTGAAAAAATATATATTTTTCACATTTTTTTAGTTGTTTAGGCGTTTGTTTAATTTTCTGTTAAATATACATCTGTGTTTTTATTTTCTAATGCTGAAAAATAATAACTTGCACTTAAACACCGTGTAATGTAGGGATTAAGGCAGGTTGCAAGTGTGAAATGACTTTATGTAACGGTGGCAGACGGAACCAGACGCTCGCAGACGAGGCTTTATCAACAAAAGGACGATCCAAAATCACAGTCGTTAACCAGAAACATGAGCTCAAAAACCAGAGATCCAAAACGGAGCAAAAGGGCAAGACAAAAATCAAGGCCATAAGCAGAAAACAGGTCATATATGGAAACTTGCTAGCAGACATGGAGAAAGGCTTGGTACACACAGCTAAAGGTAACGATACTTCGCAAAGAGTAGATACAAACAGACAGGTTATATACACAGGAGAACAGAAGCTGAGCAGTGATAGGTGGATCTAGATGAGTCCTGGGACATGTGAGGGAGTGAGGGGTTCTGGGAAATGTAGTCCGAGGCGGCCAAGTCGGCTGTAGTTCCAGCCGGGCCAGAGGGATGCATGACACTTTATTAAGGGCATTCTGCTAGTGATTGTCGTAGCAGGTAGGGATCAACACACTGGCAGGCAGGAAAAGATGCAGATCCATATTCAGAAACAGCAAACAGACTAGCAGGAGTCAAATCCAGGGAAACCACAAGAAACAGGCTTAGAACTCAGGTGACCAACACAGGTAGCAACACAGAGACTTCACAAACACACAGTGGAAACAAAGGGCTACATGTAGCAGTCTTAATGAGTCCAAAAGGAGCTGCAGGTGTGTGGGAGAGGAGGACGGGTGGGCAGAGCCAGGGAGAGTCCAAGTCGAGTCTCCCCAGAGGGGAGGAGACGTGACACACTGTTTGGACTGTAAATTAAATTAAATAAAAGAAAAAGTGGACCCTGACTTTTGCACAGGATTGTGGCAATAATAGACTGTAGTCTATGTGTTGTTTCTACCCCTTTCATCATTGTTCAGCTTCTGACCGCTGCTGTCCAGACATTATTAGGGTGTTGGATCGTTCTCAGCACAGTGACACCGATATGGCAGTGTGCATGGTATACAGGTGTGGTCAGTGTCACTGCTATTTTGAGAGCAGTCCACCAACTGGGTCATCTGTGGTCAGAAACTTACAACTGATGAACACAAACTGTGCATCAATAGACTAACTCTACAGTGTCAAGGACGTAAGGACATACGAGGGAGGGGTTTCCAACAAAGTGGCCAGTGAATGGGAAGTCAAAGAGAGCAAGTTCTTGTCCTCGTTATTGGACAGGGCAGTCGATGAGTCACGTTTTGTTGAAGATGACAGCAGATCTGTCGCAGCGGTCAATCAGATAAGAATCTGATGATGTGGTGGAGCCTATTGTTTTCCTGTTTTCACCAAAATAGTATCTGTGATCAAAGACTGTGTCCAATTTGGAAGCTTCAGGATTGGGAATTAAATAAAAATGATAATAGCTGTTGCTAAATGACTTTGACTGCCAGCAATTCAGTGACCACAGCTGCTCGGCTAATGGAGCCGTAGAAGTTTGTGGTCATTAATCACGACTAATAGAAGCTTCTCGTGGTGCAGACCGGTGCCCAGCCAAGTCTTCTTTCAGACAGGGTGACTGTGAGTCTGGACAGCAGGGATTAGATCCAGCTGTGGGGGTCTGAGGGCGGACTGTCTTTTTGAAGAGGCTTAGCCGCTCCTGCCGGCTCTTGCTTACTTTAGCGAAGGATTTGTGTCTGTATAGATTACGATTTCTCTCCTTCCTTGGATCGAGACGACTCTTTCCCTCCCTAAAACCATTCAGAGGCCAAATTAACATCAAGATGGCTCAGCAGGCATCAGGAGAGGTGATTATTTGTCTTTGTTAAGGGGACTGTATTGGCTAAACGTTTGATAGGAATTCATGTTTACAGCCAAGTTAAGCTGTAATTTTATATTGAGGAGATTTAGCCATAATAAAACCTACTGACACAAATCTGGCTTCTTTTAAAATGATTCATAGCTGTATTTGACAGCAGCAGATTGGATTTCTCAAACAAGAAGTAAACAGTCTTAAGTTTTGTGGTGGCGTCATGTCTGTCCCAAAATAGCGCCTGAAGTGCTTACAGAAAGTTCGAGAATGCCTCCTACGAGGACCTGCCTGCTGATGCCCTTGTCAGGACAGATGCACCGAGCGTCACTCCATCATGAGCAGCGTTGCTTTCCTATTAAAGCTGCCAGGACTCACCTTGAAACGAGAGAGAAGGGAACTCTCAGCGGGTGGAAAAGAGAGTTATAGAAGTCACATATGATTTCATGCAGCCAGCAGTTGCAACATGTTTACAGCTCCACTGTCCTCTCAGATGCCTTTAAAGGAAAACACCAGTGTTTTTCGACCTAATCTCTATCGGACGTGTCAGTAATGTATGGTCGATTACCATAGACGATGATTTCAACACTTTTCCTGTACTCAAAAAAGAAGAGAAAATCAGTCGACTCGAAATACACTTGCAATAGAAGCCAATGGGCAGCTGCTGAATTTTGTCAGTACATGTTTATGTGAAATATTTATATTTGAGTTGAGTTCTTCATTCAAAGCTATTTGTAAATGAAGCTGTAAGTCCATAAGGGTCATTCTTGCAGTGGAAAACCATGTCACAAAGGTTGCAGGGCTTAAAAAGATGTTTAAAATACTAGGCACAGCTGCAAAAGTCAGTATGTCCATTTACACAGTTGAGCTATGGTTAAATAAGACTTTTCCCTCATGATTCTCTGATTTTTCTCTTTTTATCCTGTTTCATGGTCGCTCTGCATCTGTAAAACAGCTCGTCACAAAACCAGTTTTCAACATTTAAAAACCATTTTTAAAATAAAACAAAATTTTTAAGAGGTTTAACTTTGGAATTTGTATAAAACAGATTCATTTTTACTTTTTATATCACTAACATTATACTACATTAAAAAATATGTATTTTATTTAAAAAATTCATTTGTCACAGAGATTTTGGTCACTGCTGTTATCAGGACTCTTATTTTACATTGTAACACGATATTTTCAGCTCTATTAAACTGCTTCTTTGGGTTGAGGCTCATCAGGGAGGAAGCATCTCAAGGCCTGAGAAGGCGAGTAATTTTGTTTATCAGGCAGCACATAACTTCTATATGTTACTGGTGTTATGTGCTTTAATAACTGGGTAATTAAAATTATTTCAAAATAATGCCAAATTATGGTTTTATGATTATAGTTGATGGTCAATGAGTCAGCCAATTTAAAAAATATTCACCAGTAAAATACTAACCAGAATGTCACTGGAGTCACTGGTGTTGCACCATATTCATATAATACCAGTGACTGTAAAATATGTTTGGAATTAAGCTGTACTTTTGGCATATATGATAATAGGAGATGTTAATGGACATATTAAGATTATTTAGTTTTGAGATGAAAGAAATAGATTTTTTAAAAATGTATCCACCTAAATTCCCACTCAAAATGGAGAATGACCCAGATAATTCATTCTTTCAGAGATGTGACAACAATTCTTCAGTAATTTACTGATTTTCACAGTACATGTACTGCATTATAGAATTACAGTACTTGTACTGTATTTCTAAATTGATTATAGTCTTTTCCTTTGCACCGTTCCAGTAATGTTGCCCACTAATTTAGATAAATTACATAAAATTAGGTAAAGCTTCATAAGAGCAGCTCTCGTAAGACATTGTTTTTCATGTACTCTTTCAAATTCACATTATGTAGGCATATATTTCAAAAGTTTCTGCCCATTAGCTTCTACTATATAGACTTTTTTCTAAGTGAAGCCAAAGGAGCTTACATTATTGTCTGTTGTAATCGCCTGTGCAATACAGATGCAGCAGATTCAGATTAAGTTAAAAATGCTGGAATATTCCTTTACCGACAATTTACACTCCAGTCCAGCACACTGATTTCGATCGAAAGAGATTGAATCAGCTCAGTGGACAAGTGCAAGCTGGCACTCCTCCACAGTGCCTTATCTGGTCCAGCAGGAGCTTCTTACAGCTCCCCAGCATACATATACTGTATCTATACAACTTTCACACGTTCTGAATTCAGCACAAGAATAAACAAGATGCCTGTTTAATATGCTTTTGCATTGTTGGTGTTATATTAGAATCTACTAAGATGTCTGTATACTACAGTATCCTGTTTTTTTTAGTGAGTCTGACATTGTAGCACTGCCAAAGATTGAACAATATGTAATGCTACACTTGCTTTATGTGTTTCTAGCCCTTTTTAACCTCATCCCAGTCGGACTAAGGGTCGTGGCCATCCAGGGAGTAAAAGCTGGCTTCTACATTGGCATGAATGGAGAAGGATTCCTCTACAGCTCGGTAAGTCATGCTCTTTCATCTTCACCAATGTACTACTAATACTTATTGTTATTATTATTATTATTATTATAATCATAATTATTATTATTATTATTATTACTTACATATATAATACATGTGGGGCATATTATCATTGCATATAGATGCTTAAAGATAACATATTGAGCATATTATTACTGCATATAGGTAATTACATATATATAATACATATGTGCCCATAAGACACACACATATATGTACAATGCATATTACATATTACATATTAGATACATGTATATAATATATTTATTATATGCATATCTATAGTATAAAGATACATATATAATTATGTGTAATTTAATATTATATAGTTGTATAGTTGGGAAGTGTATATATATATATATATATATATATATATATATATATAGATCGATAGATGGATACTTACATGTTTAAGACACATAAGACATATTGCCATTGTGTTTAGGTGCTTATGTAACACTATGGATATATGTATTTATTACATACAGATACATATATAATAATTATATATAATATAATGACATGTCTCATGTATATTATATATGTAAGTATATTGCTGTTGTTAGAAGAAAACAACGTATCTCCAAAATGGTAACTTTACAGGAGAAGGAAAAACCGTACTTTACTTTTAATGTAAGTCAATGGAACCAGACTTTTTCCCAAGTCATTTTGGGTAATAGGTGTTTTCAAATTATGTCAAAAACTGAAAAAGATTTTCTTCTGACAACAGCAATAGATAGATAGATAGATAGATAGATAGATAGATAGACAGATACTTACATATATAACACCCATAAGACATATTGTCATTGTGTATAGGTACTTACACATATAATACTTATGCAGTGAATGTGTGACAGTGCCCTTACTTATAGATATATAAAATCAAACCTGTGCATGTAAAGAGAGAAAAGTGTACATGTGAATTATTTATTAAAATGCATTTGCATGTAGATTCATAGCATCTTTTTTTCCCTGATCGAGGTTCATATCTTTTACATACCCTGAACAGGTTCGCTTTGTGCATTCATAGCTTCTCTGCTTGGCATATCATGGGTTGCATTAACATAAATGCTTCTTGAGCGAAACTGAACCTCCATCCACAGAGTAACCTAATCATTAACTATCTAATTCAATATTCCAGCACGTTCTAGCATTCAGCACCATCAAACAGCGCAGGCAGGGTAAACCGTGGGTTAACAGGCTTACAGCCAGCTTCCTCCCTGTGGGCTTTAGCTGAGTTATAGTGGATGACAGGCATATGCACTCCTACCGCCCAGTCGGCAGCTGAAACACGTTGGTGGGAGCGTGTCGCAGTGAGCTACTACTGCTGACAACTTATATAATGGTCAGTCGCACGACTCTTAATCCTGTTAAAGACTATCTGTGAGGAGGAGACTAATTTCATTTCCCATAGCCACTGCTGGGCGGCCAGCCGCTGTGGATTTATCGCTCTGGTCTATTCGGGGGGTAAACTGCGCTTCTAAATGGAGGAAGCCCCTATCCGTCAATGGAGCCTAATGAAGATGCGATCAGCTACAGTTTCATAATGATCAATAGGGTGAAACTGAACTATACAGTGCTGAAAGTTGAAAAAAGAAAACACTAAGCTTTATGAAGCTTTCTTGCACTGGCAGAGTGAATGCTGAAAGGGTATCATATGTTTTTTCAATATGATATGATATTTCTGTGATTTTAGGTACCACAAACAGCCGAGACCATCCATCTCTCTCACTCATCAGTCATTTGTCTACAGTACAATGCAAAAGTCAGAGGCCACCCCCTAATTTAGTCAATTTCCAGTCAAAACAGACATAAAGTACAAGTTGTTCATTTGTCAGGAGATATTTATGAGGTGATTAGTTATGAGATAATCCACTTGCATAAGGAATCAGCAAGCCAAAGTGAAAAAAACAGGACTTTCCAAAACTGGAGTTTAAAAATGAGTAAAAGCTACAGAGAAAATGTGGCTCCTAACAACAACCTGGAAGACCCGGTAGACACCAAAACTGCCCCCATCAGATAAACAGCACTTAAAGCTTTCATCTTTGAGAGAGAGGAGAAAATCAAGCTGCTTCAGATCTGAAAACATCCACAGGTGTTTCTGTCCATCCTTCCACTGTGAGAAGACGACTCAGCGCTGTGGGTCTGAAAGGATGTGTAGCTGTCAAGAAGAACCTCACTGAGAAAAGGAGACGGACACATCAAACAAAGAAGCTGAACAACGGACTGACCACCCCAGAGTCCAGACCTCAACACCACTGAATGTGTTTGATTACTTCAGAAAATGATCAACCAGCTTCTAAGACTGAACTTTGGAGGTGTGTCTGCAGATTCTTTGAGAAACTGAAAGAGAGTCTCCTGAAAAGAATGGAAGCTGTAATAAAGGTAAAGAGTGACTCACTAAATACTGAAAATGAGATATTATATTTAGTTCTTGAGGCTTCTGGGTAATTCTTTGTTAAATATTGTAGCATTGGCAGAAAAAGAAACACAGGGGAGGCCATGATTCTGCCGCGAGAAGTGCTCTTTATTCGACACACCAGCAGAAACGGCAAATTCAACATAAGATACCACAATTAGTCCCAATGTCTGACAGTGTGTGCATACCATAAGCCTTTGCATGTGGCCATTTACCTAGCCACACCTCCATAGTCTCTCTGTGGGGTGCCACTGCCAGCCAGTAGCAGGACGCTACAATACGTTTTATGCTGAACAATAAATAATTTGTACTTAATGGTCGTTTCGACTGGAACTTGAATAAACGAAAGGTGGGCGTTCCCACAGTAGTGGACTTGGGAACACCAAGAATGATAATAAATGATAAATGATAAATAATATACTGTAATTAACTATTTATAGCCAGTTTTTGATATGATTCTTGATGTTCCACAGATTTCATATTAGGAAATCATCTACACTCTTAAAAAGATGGTTCCTCAAGGGTTCTTTAGTAAATGATTCTATATAGCACCATAAACACTTCAAGAGCTCTTTGCATGTTTAAAGGGTTTTTGCATCATAAAAGGGTTCTTCAGATTCATAGAGAATGTGCTGTAGATGGTGCTATGTAGAAGCTTTTTGAAAACGGGTTCTATGTAGCACCCAAAAGGGTTCTTCTATTGTAACGCACTTGATATCATACACTTTTAAAAAATATGCTTCTTTAAGGGTTCTTCATTAAAGAAGATGGTTCTCTATAGAACCATGGATTTGCAAAGAACACTTGCACAGTTAAAGCGTTCTTTGCATCATGAAATGGTTCTTCAGATTGATAGAGAAGGTGTTGTAGATGAATCATTTTGAAAAGGGTACTATATAGCATCAAAAATGGGTTCTTATTTATTGTTACAATATCAAACTTGTAACCATAGAAGAACGCTTTTTGGTGCTTTATAGAACCATTTTCAAAAAGGTTCTATATAGAACCATCTACAGCACATTTTCCATCAATCTGAAGAACCCTTTCATGATGCAAAGAACCCTTTAATCATGCAGAGGCTTTTGAGTTTTTATGGTTCTATATGGAACCATTTTTTTTTACTAAAGAACCCTTGAAGAACCAACTTTTTGAGAGTGTACAGCTCTGTTAATCATTCTAGAACACAAAAAATTGGGGCCCATGCAATCGTAGAGTAGTCGCATCATAATAGAATCATTTTATACATGTACCTTCAACAAATTGGTTTAAATGAATGAAAGCATTGAGTGTGTTTACATGCACTTAATAATCTGACAACTGCAGAAATCCAATCAACACGTTTACATGCACTTGAGTAATCAGATAATGGGAAAACTCCGGGTCTACATGAGTCAGAAAGTAATCAGATTTCTACTTTGCAAGCAGCCAATAAACTCACCGAAGAAGACGTGACATAAACATAATGTAAAACTCAAACTTCATGCTGCAGCTTTTTTTTAAAGCATTGCCACTTTACCTGAAAATATTAACAAACATCATCTAGAAGATGAAGAATATTTAAATCCTTCATTTCGTCAAGCGTATATTTGGTTTCAGCATTGCTCCAAAAGTGTTTTGCTGCATCTCGCCGGAACATTGTTTGCTTATTTCTGGTCTGTTTTCACACATGCGCAGACTGAGAAATCCGAAAGAAATCAGAGTAAGAGTTCACATGCACTGAGAAATCTGACTACTCAGCTAAAATCCAGCCTCTTTATCAGATTTCTTAATCGGATTTCTAGACCAATCTAAGAAATCAGAGTATACTGTTTACATGGCCATTTGAATAATCAGATAACTGCAGAAGTCTGATTATGATCGGATTATTGAGTTTATGTAAACACACTCAGTGATTTCAAACTTTTGATCGATCATCAGTGCAGTAAGCGATTTGATTTGACCGGACAGAAACGCCTCACTGCTTTTTTAGTCATCAGGAAAGCTTTTCTGTTTTCTCACTGCAGTGAGAGGAAGGGAGTCCCTTTTGAAATGTGTCTTTGAGCGAGCTGAAAGAAGGTTTTAATTAAATGGAAGGGGGAAAAAAGCTTTCCTTTGCCATATGGAGCAGCTCTCTCCAGACATGCGCCGGGGGAAATTAATATGCTAAAACAGAAACAAAATCAGAGGGGATCACAAACATTACTGTGAGTTCATTCAATATTTACTAACAATGCTGAGGGCTGAATCATGCGAGCGGAGCCGCTAACCACTCATATACGAGAAACTCTCAAGACGGACCGGCTTCTGAGGGTCTGAAATGGAGGGTGTTTAATTAGCAGGTTCGGGCGGGTGGTTCCAGCACGCCTCACTGAAGGTGGTTCAAGCTCGGTCTTCAGTATTCTGCCCGTTCGCTTTCTGGCAGAGTTGCTGGAGCACTTCACATTAATGATGATCCACTTAACACTGCTTTTCTGAAATAGCAAGTGCTCAGATATGCGGCCTTTTAGTCCGCGCTTCAAAGGCCAGAAAATACTTCAGTCTGATTATTACCCCCCACACACTGTACATACAGTAATAT